TATACATCTGAACTAGTGGAATTGGATCACCAGTACTGGGTGTAGGAATGGTGGAATTGGATCACAAGTATTGGGTGTAGGGATTGGATCACTAGTATTGGGCGTAGGACTGGTGGAATTGGATCACCAGTATTGGGTGTTGGACTGATGGATCACCAGTATTGGGTGTAGGACTGGTGGAATTGGATCACCAGTATTGGGTGTAGGACTGGTGGATCACCAGTATTGGGTATAGGACTGGTGGAATTGGATCACCAGTATTGGGTGTAGGACTGGTGGATCACCAGTATTGAGTGTAGGACTGGTGGATCACCAGTGTTGGGTGTAGGACTGGTGGAATTGGATCACCAGTATTGGGTGTAGGACTGATGGATCACCAGTATTGGGTGTAGGACTGATGGATCACCAGTATTGGGTGTAGGACTGATGGATCACCAGTATTGAGTGTAGGACTGGTGGATCACCAGTATTGGGTGTAGGACTGATGGAATTGGATCACCAGTATTGGGTGTAGGACTGGTGGATCACCAGTATTGAGTGAAGGACTGGTGGATCACCAGTATTGGGTGTAGGACTGATGGATCACGTGTATTGGGTGTAGGACTGGTGGAATTGGATTACCAGTACTGGGTGTAGGACTGGTGGATCATCAGTATTGGGTGAAGGACTGATGGAATTGGATCACCAGTATTGGGCGTAGGACTGGTGGATCACCAGTATTGGGTATAGGACTGGTGGAATTGGATCACCAGTATTGGGTGTAGGACTGATGGATCACCAGTATTGGGTGTAGGACTGATGGATCACCAGTATTGGGTGTAGGACTGATGGATCACCAGTATTGAGTGTAGGACTAGTGGATCACCAGTATTGGGTGTAGGACTGATGGATCACGTGTATTGGGTGTAGGACTGATGGAATTGGATCACCAGTATTGGGTGTAGGACTGGTGGATCACCAGTATTGAGTGTAGGACTGGTGGATCACCAGTATTGAGTGTAGGACTAGTGGATCACCAGTATTGTGGATCACCAGTATTGGGTGTAGGACTGGTGGAATTGGATTGCCAGTATTGGGTGTAGGACTGATGGATCACCAGTATTGGGTGTAGGACTGATGGATCACCAGTATTGAGTGTAGGACTGGTGGATCACCAGTATTGGGTGTAGGACTGATGGATCACGTGTATTGGGTGTAGGACTGGTGGAATTTGATCACCAGAACTGGTTGTAGGACTGGTGGAATGGGATCACCAGTATTGGGTGTGGGACTGATGAATCATCAGTATTGAGTGTAGGACTGGTAAATCACCAGTATTGGGTGTAGGACTGATGGATCACCAGTATTGGGTGTAGGACTGATGGATCACGTGTATTGGGTGTAGGACTGATGGAATTGGATCACCAGTACTGAGTGTAGGACTGATGAATCACCAGTATTGAGTGTAGGACTGGTTGATCACCAGTATTGGGTGTAGGACTGATGGATTACCAGTATTGAGTGTAGGACTGATGGATCACCAGTATTGGGTGTAGGACTGATGGATCACCAGTATTGAGTGTAGGACTGGTGGATCACCAGTGTTGGGTGTAGGACTCATGGAATTGGATCATTAGTATTGGGTGTAGGACTGAAGGATCACCAGTATTGGGTGTAGGACTGGTGGAATTGGATCACCAGTATTGGGTGTAGGACTGATTGAATTGGGCTTCTAGTGTGTAAGGTTGGTCTGGTGGCATTGGACCACTAGTTTTGGGTTTTGGACTTTGGTTGATGGCTAGTTATATCATGTACTACCCTTGTGTGTGTAGATGGTGAAATTTTATTGATATACTATCGTGTGTGGATAGCAGCAATAGTAGAGTTTACTGCTAGTTTAGGAAGGCATGCTAGCGGAATGGTACACTTTTTGATATTGAGCTGGTGGATTTGAACCAGTAAAAGTCGAGATTGGGATGTTAATTATGGAGTTTATACTACGGAGACTGACTTGGTTGAACATTCTGATTTCAGTTTTATCAGTGATTCAGTGCTCCAAATCTGAATGTTTTAGAAAAACATGGTGGAACGAGCACTGGTCAGGTTAGTCTATCAATTACTTCCTGCAGAATGACTTTGGTACTGTTACTGATGTCCAGATTATTTTGATAAAACTATAATCAGGACTGATGTATGTGTATTGATCATTTTTTTTCCAATCAAAAATCAAGTACATGACTTTGATGATGGTAACCTCATTATCAAATATGCACATTATTATGAAATCATGCATATTGATATTTGTCAAATGAATATTTATGTTCGTGATAGCTAGCCTTATTCTCAGGAAAAAACACTTAGATCTGTAACAAAAAGGATCCTGGATTCTCCATCATCAGTGGCAACAGATCGTCTTGTACATCAAAACGATGGGATAGGTAATTAAAGTACATCTATGTAGTACTTTCTGTGTGTATTTTCGACTGGCAGCTGTCACAGGGTTATTTTTTCAGTTATCACACTTGAATGATTTCAAAATTAATTGTGTTACTCATAATATATGAGTCTCATTTCAGTGCAGTAAAAATGTAACATAAGTTTTGTGTTTGTAGTTACAGAAGCAGACACACCAATATCTTCATCATGAATCACCTCCAGTATAAGATAAAAACAATATTGGCTTTTATTTATATGGGATATATTTAGATCTTTTAAATAAATTTGAATAAATAGGATCATTTCATCTTCAAAATAAAGGACAGATTTACAAGTATCCCCATTTGAAAATGGAGTATATATTATGTCATACTTTTGTTCTTGGCACATGTCTGACAGTTGCTCAAGACCATACTGTATATAAATATACCTTGTAGTAGTTTCGATAGACATCGTAGTTTTACGTTTTCAAGGTTGATGTCTTCGCGTGAAACTCTGTTATACACTGAATCGAACATGATTAAGATTTCTCTAATCCACCCAAAAAGTGGGTTGCAAAGCCTTCTACATATTGTTAACATTGAAAGGATAAGCAACAGACTAATGTGTTTTTCAGATTGTAAGCCACAGCTTTTTCCCTGGACGTTGGGGCATGTAGCTTATATATCAGTGCGGCATATTTAGGCAAAAAAAAAAAAAAAATATATAAGCAGAATGAAAAAGGAAAAAAAAAATGAAGCATACCAGTACACCAGTGCTACGCATACTTTTGGGCTCAATTTCAATAGCACTTACAATATACAATAGCTTTATAAAAACTAATAGTCAGGCTTATCTGTCGTTAATTCACAAATAATTTTTCTTCACAGCCAGCCATGATTTATGTTTTAATATGCATTTATCACTTGGAATTCACTGGTGAATTCTGTACCAGGTGTCATTCTGGATCCCAAAACCCAGTCCAATATTATAATTAATTGATATCACAGGAATGACAAAACGTATGAATTTCAAATTTTTTTAAAAACCCATTTCAGTATTTTAAAAATCTTGTGCTTTAAATGAATTCATTACATTTTCTTTGGTTCATATCGGGGAAGTATCATACTCTTTGGAAAATTAGAGCTACCAAGATCCGTTGTTCCTAGAAAAAGAAAAAAACATAATAAAAAAAATATGCTTACACGTGTTCCCGTCTCGGGAGTTATAATCCTTGTTACTGCAATACATGTATATGAACTGTGGGTCAGGAATACATGCCAAGTCCCTGTGGTGTGACATGTTTATTTATTGTCATAATTTCAGCAGAGAGGCATGAGTTTGTATATATATCTAATGGTGCTTGCTCTAAATGGTTTATACAAGGTTAGTAGTCTACCTGGACTTCAGCGTCAGTATATTTTGAAGAGATATATCTCTGCTCAAAGTTAGGAACTGTTTTGTGTCTGCTGGCATACCTATGTATGGCATGTCTTGATTAATGTTTGTCAGCAGTTTGTTGTCCTCACTGGGATCGAAGTATATTAATCATAGAATGTTTTATTATTATGTTATGTCATGCGAAAGCAAATTGGCCCCATCATCCATTTTAAACCTTCTGTCATTTGAATTCATGACTACAGTCATCAGCACTGTTTCTACAACATGAGTATTTTACATGCAGTCAAGTTAACTGCAGAAACTAAATGACAAGACAACCAAGTAGATGTGAGCATGGGTATCTAGTCAGCTGTGCAGAACTGGTACCTGGCCATAGCTTCACTTTGTTTTCCTATAAAAACTGATACAATCTCACATGACTGAGGACTCTTTATGTCCTACTTTGCACAGTGACCTATATTTGATGCCTGCATAACCTTGAAATTGTCTACAAAAAGAAAATGCTTGTCATCTTGACATGAATGTACCTCATATCACACATGAAAATCAAGTGCAAGTTTTTGTTGATGATGTGATTCAGACATCCACTGACAACGAACTCTGATTAATCTTGAGGTCCTTTATATTTCTATTAAGCATTTATCTTTTTACAGTGAACTATAATACACTACGTTTGAGTAAGAAAACAATAACTTTAAAGATGTAGGGCTTATCTTATAATATTTAATTGTCCATCTGTAGGAAACATCACAATAATTCTGAACTCGGGTGGGGGGAGGGGGTTGAGTGCTTCAGTGCTTTCGTGGGGGTGGGAAGGGGAAACCAGTGTAAAATTATGCTGATTAAGCCTCAACTGGAGGTGAATTGAGTTGACAATAAAAGTATCCAGTATCCAGATTATGGATGACATTTGTATCTATTACATAAATGATATTTCACTCCCTCACTGTGGTGACAGAGGTTTCCTGTACTTTTGTTGTACAGTACAATTTAGTAGGTCATAGTGACCTATATTTGATGCATTGATAACTTATAATTGTTCATAAAAAGAAAAGTATTTCTCACTGTATTTTCTGTTTTATATATACTTCATTGACATGTACTGAATGCAGAATAAACTTATTGTTGAAGCAACAGATACAAAATAAAAGTACGGAGAACAATTGGTCTTTGGTCTCTGTTAACCAATTTTTTGTTGTTTTCAGAAGACTTTTCGGTTGGCATGACTTCCACCCAGCCTAGAAATTCTTCAGAATGGCAGCTATACCGAGTTCTTCAAAGAGCCAACCTTCTCCCTTACTATGACACATTTATAGGTCAAGGTATGTTTAAGATCCAAGATGGAGAAAATGGAGATATTATTGATGTATTGGTGGTGTGAAATAGATAAACAATTACTTTTACAAGGTATGAAACAGAGTTAATCACCTTTTAGAGATCAATCTATACTCCCAGAAAAGGGTAGTTTTCCCCATTAAATATAAACAAATTTCTCATAAAAAAAACAGAACTATAAACAATTCCCAAGATATGGTTTAATTAGAGTTAATTAGTGTATTTTTAACAACCAACCTAACCCCCCCCCCCCATCTGGTGATGGTGGCTGTAAATATTTGGTCTGTCTTCGTTATCTTAATGGATCTTTCTTAAATTTCACACGTAGGTTTTCCTTGGTCCCCAGTTGTGTCCATTTGATCTTTGATCTGATCAGAAAAACAAAATGGCCGACAGATGGCCATCTTGGATGATGACTTTGAAAGTTTGTTATTGCTATTTCTTGAGAAGAACTTTATGGATCTTTTTCAAATTTCATGTTGATATTTCCCTTGATCCCTTGTTGTGCATGATGCAGGTTTGATTTTAGTACTGATCAGAAAAAGAAAATGGCCTACTGGTGACCAACTTGGACTTTACCAAGTAAAGTTTGTTATTGCTATTTCTTGAAAAAAACTCTGTGGATATTTGTCAGATTTGATATGTGGGTTTCCGGTTGTCCATAATTGTGCCCATTTGATTTTGGGACTGATCAGAGAAACAAAAATGGCTGACAGACATGCATCTTGAATTTTCACTTTGAAAGGTTTCCCTATTTGGAGAGAACTACTGCATAGATCTTTCTTAAATTGCAAGTGTAGGGGCCCCTTGGTCCCTGAGTACTCCCATTTAAGTTTTGGACTGATCAGAAAAACAAAATTGTCGAGAGGCAGCCATCTTGGATTTCGCCTAGTAAAGATTATTATCCCTATTTAAGAAGGTTGGAATGGATCTTCCTCAAATTTCATGTGTATGTTCCCTTTGGTCTCTTTTTGTGCCTGTTTGATTTTGGTACTGATCAGAAAAAAACAAAATGGCTTTCAGGCAACCGTCTTGGATTTGTCAGGTAAAGATTATCATTGCTACTTCTGCAAAAGAATGTTCAAATTTCATAAGGAGCAAAACAGAGAAGAAAAGAGAAAAGAAGGGGAAAGATCCAACTTTCAAGGAGCAAATAAAGATCAAACAATCACGAAAAAAGGAAATATCAATTTCCTCTCAAAATTGTCAGATTTCTTTCATTTAGTCTTCATGTATGTCCTTTATTTCCACCCTAACCCTCATTTGAATTCTGACCAAAAGAGTTGAACAAGATTTTTCTGTGTCTGAAAATAGAACAAAAAATTCTCCTATTTCCACAATGGGTAGTGTTCCCCTAATATTAGATTAACCCATGTCTTTTATAAATCACTATGGTTGAACTCAGAGGCTTGATTGGTAGGGTATGGTAGGGGGCTAACATTGTATTACTGTGGAAGGAACCTAGAATAATGAGGACACTTAACGAGAATGTGACTCCATACTTTTTTTCATGTTCAATTCTGGAACTGAACCCTTATCACTTTGCTGACAGGAAATTGTCATGTATGACCTGACTTCCCCTATATTGTGTCTTGTTAATAAAGTACTGTTTCATTAGAACAAATATGGTAAAATTGAGTTACACTGACAGTAACTTAATTATTTAGACATGGTTTATCGTTTAGAAAGATAAGTACAAGATAACTTAGGCATTGTGTCTGTATTGGCGGTTTACCTGCTGGTGTTCTCAGTTCAGTCACTTTGATACTGGTGCCAGGAATCTGTTGGCGTCAACCCTATCGTCACACTTTTTTGTCATTATTAAAATATGTCCTATTTTTTGTCCATATGCTTGAGTTATTGGCTAATTTTTCATGGTGTCAGAGTTGTCTGGGAAGGTACAAACGTATAAAAGTATGATACATTAGTTGGCTAACTTAGTTGATTCTTTTATGTTTTATCATTAAACCTTATAATTTCTCAGCATAATAAAAAAAAAAGTGTGAAATTAACTGAAAAAGAGAAAAAGGAGAAAAGAATTTCGGTGAAAGTGAAAAGCATACTTTATTCAACCGTTTAATCACAAAAGATTGACGTTGTGTCTTCACATACAAACAACTGGAAAATAAAAGTACATGCGACCCCTAGGTCACTAAAAGTACATTTGTTTACCTAATCTTTTACAGTGATGTATTAGAGTATATTTTTTTAATTCAAGTTGACCTGCATAAATTTTGATCATACTGGTATAAAACAAATCCTAACTGAGTAATTAAAAAATGTATTGATTTTATATAAATGTGTTACACATGTTAAAATATGACAAATATACTAGCCCAGGTAAAACCATTTTCACCCCTTATTTAAATCTTAGAAATACTGTTAATCAAGACTTTATTAACAGATTTTAAGAAGTCAAATTTCATGTAAACAAAATATTGATGCTATGAATTGAAGACCTTGGGATGCTTGATAGTAATGGGAAATGTTGACAACCAATGGTTGGTTGGTTACAGATGAAATCAGTTTAGTTATCAAAGTTCATTGAAATCTTGTCTGGCCATGTAAAGGTTTTCCTTGAGGAATTTATTCAGTTCAACCCTCAACAGATTTGGTATGTGTACCATAATATCATAAAATCATTGACTACGAAGGTTTTCAGGGTCCTAAGCCAATTTACTATACCGATTAAGAACTCAAACTAACAACACGGTGTTGTTGAGAAACTGACGGGAAAATAAGAACAAAAGAAATGTTTACAGAGAAAAAAACACATAAATACATCACATTTGACATCTAGGGTTTAGTACATACTGACAGTATAATGGCATCACTGTGTACATCTTTTTACATTTGTCTGGTCATTCGTTAAAGCTGAAAGATCAAAGGCCATACAGCAGTGATAGGTATACTAGCGAGAAGAGGGTACATATATGTGAGTAGAGAAACTTCTGATTACTTAACATGGTGAAATAATTTCCCGTTCCAGGAGGAGATGATGTCCAACAGCTTTGTGAGGCTGGAGAGGATGAGTTTCTAGAGATCATGGCTTTAGTTGGCATGGCTAGTAAACCTCTCCATGTTCGCCGTTTACAGAAAGCTTTACAGGAATGGGTTTCTAACCCAGGTAGGTGTCCTGAGGACCGAGTTACATGGGTGAAAACACTTTGGTTCAGAGATAGTTATTTGTAGTGTCTAAAATTTTGAAATTACATAAAATGGTATTGAATACTTGCTGATGTCAGTATATTGTTTATGTCAATGTTGAAATGTTAGGGTAAACATATTAAGCAGCTTGTTATTATGATACTGTTTAATTAAGCTCCTGTATTTGTATTGTTCTACAATAGATGTAAAGCTGTGTATCAGTGGGTCATCACATGTTATTTTCTGTTCTTGTAGCTGCATTCCAGAACCCAATGGCTGTATCGGTGGGTCCATTATTAGGCACTTCTAATGCCGTCAGTGTGACAATGGGAGGGGTCATGACCCCTGTCAGGGATCCACAACCGCAGCAGTCCATTATCTACACATCCCAGCATTCCTCGCCTGTCAGTGCCGCGGTTTGGACACCCCAGCTCCAGCCTGCCCAGCAACAGCAACAGCCAGCTCCTCCCTCACAGCCTGTACAACAACCCCCACCACTGACCCCAAGCCCCCAGCACCAGGTCACCGTGGTCACACCTGTCAAACCACAGCCTCCACCCCAGTCATCACCAGCCCCACCCCCAATCAGCATCAGTCCTGGCCCAAACCCCACCCCCACCAGCTCATCAGGGGGTTCGGTTCAGGGCGACTTTAAGTCAGAGGTAAGCACATGAACCTGGCTGCATGTGTAACACATATATCTTTCAGAGACCAGTGCATCTTCTTTACAGAAACTAAAACTTATAATCAAGAGTGATCATATTTTCCCATTAGTTAAAAAAATTCAAAAGTTAAACTTGATTTGTTTTACAAAAATGTCCAACTCTTGTTGGCCTTGATGGAAGCGGGAATGGGGGGCGGGGATGGGGTGGGTGGGTCTTACTGTGAGAGATAACCGAAGTGCAAGGGGAAAACCCCATAACTGGAAGGCTCATTCTGGGAATCAAAACCCGGATGTTTAGATGAAAGGCGAGTGTGTTACCAATGCGCCACCCGACCACCCATAAGTTCATGTCAAATTGCACTGTATACTTCCACCTTGATAGTTACCTGTTCGTAAATGTATTTTGTTTGTTTCTACGTTGTAAACTTTTGTCTGGCCACAATTTTATAAACAGTGGTGATGTTGATGCATTATCGCAGACTGCATCAGCGTTTTGTTGACTGTTTTCCTTACTATTCATAACTTGTGTAGTAGAATGTCACCTCCATGTTGATAATTTCATTTTATGGAGAACAGGAATGAATGAAAGATCCAGATTTTTTCTTTTATGACAATCAGTCAATACATGCATAATACATTCTATTTTTGTTTCCAAGGTAACTTAAAATTTTGACTAATTCCTCTATTCTATAGAGTATGTGTGTCATTGTTGTAGAGTTTTTCTGTGCCCATGACATCGGAGGGGACACCAGAATTATCCAGTTCCACATCACCTGTGCCAACCCCAGTCCTTGTGGAAAGTCAGATCAATTCCATAGCAGAAGCTGCAGCCAAACTAGCCCAGGAATTACCCATGTTTGAAACCAAAAGACTCAATATGAAAAAGCTTATCAACAGGGAAATCATGGTAGGTTTCTTTATTGTGTAAGGAATACTGTAAAAGTGAAATTATTTGTGGCATGGAAATTTCCACTTATTCGCTATTATTAAATCTCTGTGAATATATCCATACGCGAATATATTTACATGTGAAAATATTAACACACAAGGTTTGTTTAACCAAAACAAATATTAAATAATTAAATTGTGTGTACCAATGCTTTGCCCTTTTTTCTTAAGCATCTATTGGACATTGTCATGGTCAAACAGGTGTTTTAAAAAAAATGGGCAAAGCTAAAAACTACTATACAATTCCAGATTTGATGTCTGGACTGGGAATTACCAGTAAAAATGAAAACAATCAAACATATATATACAGTCAACACTTTATCAATTCCTTTGTACGTGATTAAACAATAAGTGTCACTATATTATTCTCCGAGCATTTTGGTAAATCCTCTTTCTGAGATTCGACGGAAGAGAGTTTGTCTTTCCCTGCAGTTTTTAGCGGTATTACATATGTACTTTTGATGGACCCGAATAGTACTTTCATTGATGTTTTTGTTTAATTCAATAGAAAAATTAGTAGCTGCTGTAACTGGCCTGTTATCAATAGCTTGTCTCGCCATTTTAGCCTTTTGTTCTGGCGTATAGTGAATATAATCTCTTCACTTTCTGGTTTTGTCCCGGGGATGGATTTACTGGGGACACACATCCTGGAGATTTTCCAAGTTCAGCTTCACTAATTTTTTTCACACATTTTCCTAGTGCTCCCCATTTACCAACGTCTGGTGCTCCCCGTTTGCCAGCGTCTTGGTTTGCCAGCGTCTGTGCTCCCGGTTTTACTGACCGGCCAGATTTTAGCCACTGTTGAAACATACCAATGTTTCCTTTGAAGTATCAGTTAAAACTGCCCCAATACTGACCAAAGCGTTACTTAACCTCATACAATAACAATAGGTAAAAACAAATTGTGCTCAGACTTACCTTATTTACTTGTGGGTCTTTATGCAATCCTTGATATTTGTACAGGTAAGAAAACAAAGGCAAATAACTCATAGTCGATTTACCCCTTCAAGAGCGTGAAAATTACGACTTTGCAAGAAGTTTGAAAGTTGATAACGTGAAATAAAATATACATGAAAATATCCATTTTTACAGTACATCTTCAGAAGATACCGTATATGACCTAATACAGGCACAGGGCACTGGTAATTGAAGGCGAGGGTGCTCTTAATAAGACTTAGAATTTGAAAGTTTTATGAAACAGACTATAGGTTATAGGTATGTAGCAGACAGCTTCCAGTTTAACAGAGAGTAAGTAGACATTTGAAACAGACTATAGCGAAATTCCCGCGAAACTGTTTGATATTATTTATAGACCAAGTCTAGACAAAATATTGGCACGTGAAATTGTTTTTGAAAGCCATTCAACCGAAAACAATGAAAAGTTACGTTGACGTAGCACAGGCTCTTCTCGATAATACATGTGCAGATGTGCACAGTGTGAACATTGAACTTTCCAAGAGTGGCACTAGTGGCTGGGACAGTGATATGGATGATGCTGATGACCACTACAACTGCACTAGCCCTTGATATTGAAACCAGGCCTGCTTTCAATGTCCACAGTGCAGTCATAGTAATCCTCAGCATAGTTTATATATTCTGAATAAAAATGTAGATGTAGTAATTTTTTTATCACTTCAGAACACAACTGGACACTAGGCTAAATATAATTTTCCCCGAAAAAAGGCCCTTATTGAGGCATGCGCCCTAAAAAGGTCATATACAGTATTTTTATCAGTTAAACAATGCAGTGAGTTACTGAACTCTGACATGATTTCAAACTGGTGAGAATTTCTGTTTGTGATTCAGGCAGTGATGCAGATGTCCGAAGATGACCCAAATAGAATGGAGGAGTTGAGGAAATATGCTGCTATCTATGGTCGATTTGATTCAAAAAGAAAAGGAGAAAAACCAATGTCCCTACATGAGGTAGGTTCATATACATGTTTTTTTACAATGTACAGTATATCTCCGGTAACAAGGTCAGTCATGCAGAAAAATCATAAATGAATGCTATTTCATTGTGTTATTATAAGCCCAATCCTGCCTTTGAGTAAAAATTGATATGTTGGTGCGGTGGGCTTATTGAAGGCCAGGTCCAGTAACTGATAAATGATTCATTATTTGGGTAAGTGTTGCTATAAGGATTGTAAAGATTTTGAATTTAGTGTTAATGAGGTGGTCAGTTTCTTTTACTTAATTGTAATCAGATTGAGAGGGGAAATTACAACATAAGTGCCTTATTATTAATTATATGTTTTAATCTTGGAAAGAAACATTACCTATTCAAATTTCAAGGTTTAGATTAACTTAAATACTGATTTCTGTGAATATGATTAATTGGCTTACTATAGCAATATACTAAATATACAGAATTAATTAGTCTACCATTCAATTGTACCAAATATACAGCATTGAGGGGCGTACTATACCAGTGTACAGAATTAATCTACCATACAATTGTACCAAATATACAGCATTGACGGGCCTACTATACCAGTGTACAGAATTAGTCTACCATACAATTGTACCAAATATACAGCATTGACGGGCGTACTATACCAGTGTACAGAATTAGTCTACCATACAATTGTACCAATAACAGCATTGACGGGCGTACTATACCAGTGTACAGAATTAGTCTACCATACAATTGTACCAAATATACAGCATTAATAGGCCTACTGGCTTTATTGGTCTACCATACAATCGTACCAAATATACAGCATTGACGGGCCTACTGGCTTTATTGGTCTACCATACTATTGTACCAAATATACAGCATTGACGGGCCTACTGGCTTTGTTGGTCTACCATACTATTGTACCAAATATACAGCATTAATAGGCCTACTGACTTTATTGGTCTACCATACTATTGTACCAAATATACAGCATTAATAGGCCTACTGGCTTTGTTGGTCTACCATACTATTGTACCAAATATACAGCATTGACGGGCCTACTGGCTTTGTTGGTCTACCATACTATTGTACCAAATATACAGCATTGACGGGCCTACTGGCTTTATTGGTCTACCATACTATTGTACCAAATATACAGCATTGACGGGCCTACTGGCTTTATTGGTCTACCATACTATTGTACCAAATATACAGCATTAATAGGCCTACTGGCTTTGTTGGTCTACCATACTATTGTTGATATACATACATTAAAAAACAAAACTTGTTTGCTTTATGACGAGTATGATTTATACTCTAGACATTGCCCTAGAGTTTCTGATATGTATGTTACCAGGTAACTTAATTGAGCATAAAAGGATTGCCATAAAATACTATACAAGGTCTGTATTTTAGAATATGTGTTTTGTTATTGTATATTGTAAAAACTAAAACTCTCTTTGATAATGTAATGTAAATAACATTTGATATTCAGAGGATGTAGTAATAATGATATACAACATGCACATACACTTTCTGTAGAGTCTAGGACATCTAGTGAAGTCTCTTTTTCTTTATTTCAATTCTTTGTACTAAAATGAAAAAAAAATGTGTGTTAGTGTATCACATATAGAGAGTCCTAGCAACCTTAGGTGTCATAAGACAGATAATTTGGTGTGAAATTAAAGGAATATAGGACTGCTAAAGGGTTCAAAGTTTGCAGAGAGGCTCTAGATCTGTCACAAGAGAGTTGAAGCTGTTGATGTTTTTTTCCTTTTTTAAGAGAATTGGCAATAATGCTTGCAGAAATATGAAAAAAGAATTGAAAGTTTGTGTAATCCTTCCAGAGTCAATGTGAAATGAGTTTTTGTCCAGTTTTACCAAATGTTTGTTTGCTTTTTTTGGTGATTTAGTTTTAGAGAAAGGAGGAGCCACATAGTTAGGCCTGATACAAACAGAACAAGTGATATAGAGTGAGGGCAGGTGGTAGGGGTGGCACACATCTAGGCCTGATACAAACAGAACAAGTGATATAGAGTGAGTGCAGGTGGTAGGGGTGGCACACATCTAGGCCTGATACAAACAGAACAAGTGATATAGAGTGAGTGCAGGTGGTAGGGGTGGCACACATCTAGGCCTGATACAAACAGAACAAGTGATATAGAGTGAGTGCAGGTGGTAGGGGTGGCACACATCTAGGCCTGATACAAACAGAACAAGTGATATAGAGTGAGTGCAGGTGGTAGGGGTGGCACACATCTAGGCCTGATACAAACAGAACAAGTGATATAGAGTGAGTGCAGGTGGTAGGGGTGGCACACATCTAGGCCTGATACAAACAGAACAAGTGATATAGAGTGAGTGCAGGTGGTAGGGGTGGCACACATCTAGGCCTGATACAAACAGAACAAGTGATATAGAGTGAGTGCAGGTGGTAGGGGTGGCACACATCTAGGCCTGATACAAACAGAACAAGTGATATAGAGTGAGTGCAGGTGGTAGGGGTGGCACACATCTAGGCCTGATACAAACAGAACAAGTGATATAGAGTGAGGGCAGGTGGTAGGGGTGGCACACATCTAGGCCTGATGCAAACAGAACAAGTGATATAGAGTGAGGGCAGGTGGTAGGGATGGCACACATCTAGGCCTGATACAAACAGAACAAGTGATATAGAGTGAGGGCAGGTGGTAGGGGTGGCACACATCTAGGCCTGATACAAACAGAACAAGTGATATAGAGTGAGTGCAGGTGGTAGGGGTGGCACACATCTAGGCCTGATACAAACAGAACAAGTGATATAGAGTGAGTGCAGGTGGTAGGGGTGGCACACATCTAGGCCTGATACAAACAGAACAAGTGATATAGAGTGAGTGCAGGTGGTAGGGGTGGCACACATCTAGGCCTGATACAAACAGAACAAGTGATATAGAGTGAGTGCAGGTGGTAGGGGTGGCACACATCTAGGCCTGATACAAACAGAACAAGTGATCTAGAGTGAGGGCAGGTGGTAGGGGTGGCACACATCTAGGCCTGATACAAACAGAACAAGTGATATAGAGTGAGGGCAGGTGGTAGGGGTGGCACACATCTAGGCCTGATACAAACAGAACAAGTGATATAGAGTGAGGGCAGGTGGTAGGGGTGGCACACATCTAGGCCTGATACAAACAGAACAAGTGATATAGAGTGAGTGCAGGTGGTAGGGGTGGCACACATCTAGGCCTGATACAAACAGAACAAGTGATATAGAGTGAGTGCAGGTGGTAGGGGTGGCACACATCTAGGCCTGATACAAACAGAACAAGTGATATAGAGTGAGTGCAGGTGGTAGGGGTGGCACACATCTAGGCCTGATACAAACAGAACAAGTGATATAGAGTGAGGGCAGGTGGTAGGGGTGGCACACATCTAGGCCTGATACAAACAGAACAAGTGATATAGAGTGAGGGCAGGTGGTAGGGGTGGCACACATCTAGGCCTGATACAAACAGAACAAGTGATATAGAGTGAGTGCAGGTGGTAGGGGTGGCACACATCTAGGCCTGATACAAACAGAACAAGTGATATAGAGTGAGGGCAGGTGGTAGGGGTGGCACACATCTAGGCCTGATACAAACAGAACAAGTGATATAGAGTGAGGGCAGGTGGTAGGGGTGGCACACATCTAGGCCTGATACAAACAGAACAAGTGATATAGAGTGAGGGCAGGTGGTAGGGGTGGCACACATCTAGGCCTGATGCAAACAGAACAAGTGATATAGAGTGAGTGCAGGTGGTAGGGGTGGCACACATCTAGGCCTGATGCAAACAGAACAAGTGATATAGAGTGAGGGCAGGTGGTAGGGGTGGCACACATCTAGGCCTGATACAAACAGAACAAGTGATATAGAGTGAGGGCAGGTGGTAGGGGTGGCACACATCTAGGCCTGATACAAACAGAACAAGTGATATAGAGTGAGGGCAGGTGGTAGGGGTGGCACACATCTAGGCCTGATGCAAACAGAACAAGTGATATAGAGTGAGGGCAGGTGGTAGGGATGGCACACATCTAGGCCTGATACAAACAGAACAAGTGATATAGAGTGAGGGCAGGTGGTAGGGGTGGCACACATCTAGGCCTGATACAAACAGAACAAGTGATATAGAGTGAGGGCAGGTGGTAGGGGTGGCACACATCTAGGCCTGATGCAAACAGAAAACAAGTTATATACAGTGGGGGTGGGTGGGGGTCACAATATTGAATGAAAACAAGTGACATATATGTATAATCCATACTTCCTGTCCTCATTTACCTGTGATTTACCTGTGGTTTTTTTGTGATAGTTGGCTAAAAGCAGTGATATTAAGCGTTGTCCATATGAAAATAAATGACATTATCAGATGTTGAAGTACATAGAACATATCGGAGGAAGATCTACATTTCAAGAAAGCATGATATTAGCTGGAAAATGACATTAACAGATGTGACATTAAGTGGGTTACACTGTATTACAAATGTGAAGGAAATTTTCTGAGATATAGAGATGACTCCTGTTTGTGGCTTCAGTGATATCAATAGAGAAAGCTGAATAATGCATCAGTTACCATGGAGTTGGTGACACTGAGGAGGTATCAGGTGTCACATTTTTAAGTTTCATGATGATATTTATTGCTTTTATGTGACCTGTAGTGCTCATTAAATATTTTCAACTACATGGAAACTCCAACACAGTGATTTTTATGTCGGATTTGCACACCTTTATTTCTGATCTGAAACTCCCATGTATTTACTGCGAGGTTTGAGCAAACACTTCCATCTAAGTGTTGTGCTATTTGTTTATTTCATGTAATATTTTGTCATATATTGCCTTCATAAAGCAACATATCACTTTTAGATAAATTGCTGTAATTGTGTATCATTATTCTGTTTATGTAACTAGCAACTAGCAAGCGTTTTGGTAAATAAATGACCCATGTAATCTTATGCTTGTCTCACCTGGTCTGAATGGCCAAGACAGCTTATGCTGTGGCATGATGTCTGTCT